GTTCTAAAGTTTGAATTTAATGATGTCAAACTATCAATCGAGAAAATGTTTTTCCATAAGTCATGATCTTGTTCATGGTATTGACGGTGTTAAATTGAGTCTAGTAATGACGTCAATAACATTAATAATAATAATAACAATAATAATAATAATAATAATAATAATAATAATAATAATAATAATAATAACATTATTGATGATAATAATAATAATAATAATAATAATAATACAAATAATAATAATAATAATAATAATAATAATAAATATGATTGACTATATATCTCAAATTAAACGTATAATCGAGACCTTTTACCTTTGCAAACACACAAATCGCAGCCATTCTCGTCCTGTTCGTGACCGTGCTCACAATAGATCATGCAAGAGACTTCTGGGCATAAGGGGTTCGCTGAAATCAATTATAGTAATTGTTTAATTATAGTGATAATTATTTATATTTTGAAATTAGGTCTTAGATTATAAAAATGCTACAAAATTTCGAAGGATGATTTCCATCTTGTTCTAATGTCATGGTCTTGTTCATGTTATTGACGGTGTTAAATTGAGTCTAGTAATGACGTCAATAATAATAATAATAATAATAATAATAATAATAATAATAAATATGACTGATTTATTTATCTCAAATTAGACGCGTATAATCTAGGCCTTTTACCTTTGCAAATACACAAATCGCAGCCATTCTCGTCCTGTTCGTGACCGTGCTCACAATAGATCATGCAAGAGACTTCTGGACATAAGGGGTTCGCTGAAATTAGTTATAGTAATTGTTGAAGTATAGAGATAATTAATAATATTTTGAAATTAGGCCTAAGATAATATAAATGCTATAAAATGTAATTTAGTCTAGTAATGACGTCACTGCACATCAATCTCATTACTACTTTCATTAGCCTGCATGTGTCAGAGAGTTTATCTGAGCCATCACCCCTGTTCATATTGCCTAGTAATAGTTCGTCAGACCTTTCTAATAATGTTTCCCTGCTATTTTCCTTTTTCTACTTTGGGGTTGAAACAAACATTGCTTCGATTGGAAAATAGTTTTAAATTTTCTGATACCTACAAACAAGGAACCAATTTACCTAATATCTTTGCCATAAGGCCTATTTTTTCTAAAATTCCTATCCGAATAAGCCTACTATATTATAAATAATTCTATGATGCTTAAAAGTGAAAATAATTGTTATCTTATGCCACGAAGAAATTGATCTATAAGCCTATTTATAAATTCTTATTTATACATATAATAATAATAATACTTATAATAAACTTTATTCATTCCACCACCTATGGTACAATACCGAAACCGAGAAGGCAATGCCTGTAAGCAGGTCCGGTGCTAACTTACAAATTAATGCCTTAAAATGTTTACCTTAAATAAACATCAAATGGACACAAACATGGTCCTTAACTCGCTTAACTTTCCTGAAAGGGTTGTTCGAGGAGCAAGAGGCAGGAACCATACCAATTAGCCAAACGCTCAGCTCTTATCCGAATAGAATATCCCCAATAAGCATACTATTTTATATAAAATTCTAGGATGTTTAAAACTGAAAATAGGCTAATTGTTTATATATGTTTGCCACGAAGTAATTGGCCTAGGCCTATATTTCTAAAATCATAATATGCCCAATAAGCCTACTATTTTATATATAATTCTATGCTATTTAAAATTGAAAATAATTGCTCGTATGTTAAGCCACAAAGTAATTATTTTAACTAATAATTTGTAGGGTATTGATATAGACCTACTAATATTTTAAAAAAAACAACAAAAAAAACAGATTAATTTTAAATATAATTTTTCTTCAAACTGTTCTTAAGGTCATCTAACCGTATTTTTTGTTTTGTAAAAATGTTAATTTCCCACATTTGTGTGGTTTCAATGTTCTATTTTACTGGTACAGTATTGTAATTTCTGTTGTTACAAATTGCTTTCAAACATAGGCCTATGTTTTAACCCCCATCTAGCTGGAAGGTCAATGCCGCGGAGACAGTTCAGAGGAGGCGCCAGGATTTGCCCGACGGGGGTGGCCGAGCTCTCCCCGACGGGAGGCCCTGGCCCCGGCCCCCTCTGGCTCCACCCCTGAGACAGTTCAGTCAACATTTATTTGGTACTCTAAAAAAATTCAACAGAAGACTACCAGAATCACCCGTTGCGGCAAAAGAAACGCTCTTGAATGATAGTATCAAATTCAGCAGTCATTCGAGAGGTTTCCTATCCTAAAATTCACCAACCATGATATATGGTATGAATGGACTGCATGGATATCCATCATTCTGCCAACGTGTCCCACATCTCAAAACTTTTAATCTGTATAATACGCTCTTCCATTTCGGCGTTTTATAACCAAGCCGACTACATTACATTACATTGAACAGGTTTCAACTTATAGGGCGTAATACTTGAAGATGATTGTCTACATAAAAAAAGTCCTACAACCTACAAGTTAATACGGCTGTAAGAGCTTACCTGTACTTTTGCTGGGCAGGATAATCAGCAATAAGCTTAACACTGTCACAGCGAGAGCAGATTTGATCAGTTTCATCTTGGCTGTGTATCTCAAGCTAAGTAATGCGTAATACGGTGGTACGGCGTTTATATACAATTTTTCTATACATTTTGTTTAGAAATAGGCCTATTAAGGAAGATAACTGTAAACATTCGGAACAATAGGCGATATTCTGCGGTCAGCAGTATTTATGCATTACGCGCTGATTAGTGGTAAATACTTTGAAGAGGAGTTACAAGAGGATACTTAAATGGAGAAAAGTTCATTGCGACACTGTAGCCGTAAACTTCAACCTACTAGCTTTAGCCCCGATAGTTATATAACGGTGTTCTTTTGTATACCTGTCTAAATAGGCATTTAATTTACATGATTAAACCTTTATTATCAACGCCTGATGGTTAAGTGTGGCATTTTAACGTAATTTATTATTAAGTTAACATAAAATAAGCACATTATTATTTTTAAGCATCAATTTAAAATGTAAACTGATAATATTATATAATGTTTAACTTGATTTATTGAAATGTTTTCTTAAAAATATTTTATAAATTTATTTATACGTTTTACGATTTTGATTACAAGTAAAGGCACAATACTTAAATGAACAATTATTTTAATGTGAATGTGATCCAGAATTTAATACATTAGTAAATCGTCTCTATCATCGTCATCATTATCATTGTCTTCGCCATCAGGATCATGGTCATCATCATCATCATCAACAACAACAACAACAACATCCTTCATCATGTTCATCATCATCATCACCATTATCTTATTGATCGTCATAATAACCATCAACTGTCTCCTTATGTAGATGCTGGTACGAGCCTAATTATCATTAATTAATTCTCATCATCAGCATCACTGTCATCATGGAGGTATTATATCGCTATGCTGTTATCAAGATCACCATCATCATCATCACCATTATCATCATCATCATTACCAATATTATATTCCTTGTCATTTATTATTCTTAAGATTGATTATTTAATATGTATTATTATTATTATCATCATCATTCATCATCTTCATCTTCATCATCATCGTCATAATCATCATTATTGTTATTATTATTATTATTATTATTATTATTTAAGATTAATTTACATAAACATCTACGTAAGATATAATATTAAGTGCTCAATAAAATAATCATAAATGCGAGTGCCGTAATCTCAATCGGTTTATTTTCCTTTATATCCTCAGATACATTAGCAATATGTAATACAGTCATATATTCTCATGGGGCAACTATTATTTTAAAGGAACACATACACATTTCGTTTAATAGGCCTATGTATATTACGACCTCCATTTCACACAACGTTACTAATACCACATCCTTGAAAAGAAATTAATATCTTCCGTCAAATAAGCTTTATCTCATTATAGGTCATGTAAAAACAAGTAAGTTGTTGATCGTCCCCTCCCCCACCCCTACATTTTTTTTTTGTTAAACCTCATAAAAATATATACACAGTAAAGACATATTACACGAATTGAACGAAAAACAAGAATTAATCATGGAATTACGTAAAAATGAAATGGAAGGGATCTTGGTTCGATCGAGAGCAAGATAAATTGAGCACGGTAAAAAGCCATCCAAATATTTTCTAAACATGGAAAATAGAAACAAAGCGATATTGAGAACAGAAAATAATATTGACTTAAAAAAATCGGAGGAAATTTGACAGGAAACTGGGGCTTCTACCAAAAACTTTATGCAAAGCGAGATGGAGAGGAAGAGGATATCGTTTTGGATAACCTCTTCAAGAATGGATATAGTATGTTGACTGAGGAGGAAAAAATGAAGTAGAATTGCCACTTTCACCGCAAGAAATGAAAAAAGTCTAAAAAATATGAGTAATGGGAAATCCCCAGGCTTACATGGATGCACGACCGATTTCTTTAATTTTTTTTTTTTTTTTTTTTTTTTTTTTTTTTTTTTTTTTTTTTTTTTTTTTTTTTTTGTGGATATTGGTACTTTTCTTTGGAGATCCTCAAATTATGCATTTAAATCAGGGAAACTATCAATCAAACAAGGCCTAATTACAATTCTGCCAGAAGAAGAAAAAGATAAATCTCATTTTGAAAAATTGGTGACCAATTACACTTTTAAATACGTCTTATAAAATTATTTCTTGATCATTGCAAATAGAATAAAAATGTTTCTAACAAATTTAATACATAAGCAACAGAGGGGCTTTATAAAAGGGCGCTTCATAATATCTGGCTTATCTACGATGTACTTAATATTGCTGAAAATGAAAATCTCCCAGGCCTTCCTTTAAATATAGATTTTGAGAAGGCATTTGATTCGGTGTCTCTTTCGTACTTGAAAAAGGTGCTCTTTAAGTTTAACTTAGAGGAGGATATTGTAAGATGGTTAAATATTTTCTATCAAGATGCAAAATCATCGGTTTTGGTTAATGGTTTTATTTCCAAATCCTTTCGCATTGGTCGTGGATGTAGTCATGGGGACGGTTTAAGTCCATATTTATTTTTGTTATGTATTGAGGTTTTTGGAATGATACTACTACTACTACTACTACTACTACTACTACTAACTACTACACTACTACTACTACTACTACTACTACTACTACTACTACTACTACTAATAATAATAATAATAATAATAATAATAATAATAATAATAATAATAATTATTATTATTATTATTATTATTATTATTATTATTGTTCTGATTTTTATTTCTTTTTTCTTGCATATATTTTTCCTATCTTTTTGCACTGTTTTTTCCTCACCTGGACGATCCCGGTGAAGGAGTAAATTTGAGGGTAATTTAAATTGCTTACTTCCCAGTTATAGATGGATAAAAATGACATTTTGCAGAATAGTTTTCCATGGTGAAATGAAGAAATGTTCCAATTTTGGTGGCGATCCGCAGTAGGGTGTGGATATGAGGACCATTTAAAGATTTTTTGTTGACAGTTGATAAAGTTATTTAAACGCAATTTGCGTTTTCTAAAGCGCTTAAACCAGTTACAGCTAGGTTAAACTCAAAACCACCGTGATATGCATGATCAATTTTTGCTTTCATTCATTGAATCGCTATGAACCGAAAATGCACTTTCCTATTGAAGGGCGGCTCACGTGGTGCGCAATGGTCGTGAGTCACGACGTACCTCGCTATTACCATTGCATCTATATAGTTCAAGTCTCAGGTTTTGGTTTTGTTTTTTCACTTTATTTTTTTATTTTTTTTTGCACTTCATTATAATTATATTGGTTTTCCGTGTTTTTTTTTTTTACTTTATACCTTTTAACGACTTTTCTTTTGTTGCAATTTCAACTTCATTTTTCATTAAAGCAATGGGAAAAAGCCCTATGTTCTGTTGTTCAAACATACATAGTAAGTATAGTTATTATTATTATTATTATTATTATTATTATTATTATTATTATTATTATTATTATTATTACTATTTAAGATTATCTTCAAACACAACAGTTTTCTGGGTTAAAAGTTAAGATAAGTAAAGGTAAAGAATTAAAAAAGATTCCATTAGAATACATGCAATAAAGCTATATTAAAATCATGAATGATAAAAGATAAATATCATCGAAAGATATAATATTGATATGTTCAATAAAATAATCATAAATGAGAGCGCCGTAATCTCAGTTGGTTTACTTTCCTTTATATCATCAGATACACCCGCAACATATACAGTCATAAATTTTTAGGAGGCAAATATTATGTTTTAGTAACACATACACACCTCGTTGTTTATTATTACAACCTCCACTCCACACAACGTCACTATACCACATCCTTGAAGAGAAAATTAATATATTTCGTCAAATACGCTTTGTCTTCTTATGTACAGTCGCAAAATTTACTTTCCTGGGTATACGCCACTTGTCTGTGAACTCTTGTTCTTTTTTTTTTATTGAGTGCCACCGTTTTAAAATTTATGTTAAAATAAACAAGGTTCAATTGATGTTGAAATTGACAATGTTGTTGAGTGGCTATGTACGTGTCGCATGATTCAATGAATCGATGAACCCCAAAGAGAAAGGGGGTCTGGGGATTCTTTAATGGCAGGAAATGAGCTTTTTCTCCTGCGATTTTTTTCATTATTCATCATTTGCATGAAACCCCACCCGGGTTGTCTCGACTCACTCGGCTCGAAAATCTCAATTTTGGAGGTCAAAAGGTCATCAACCAAAGATAAACGTCCACAAAAATTCTGCTGTCTGATTTTGAAAAAACACATTGGTGAATACCATGCTAATATAATGGGTCGTTTAAAGCGACATATGTAATATTTGATGTTGCTGCTGTGCACCTTTTTATTTTTTAGTTGGCCTAGGTTTTGGATAATTATTCGCAGTTTTGGATAATTATTTAAGTACCTATGTCATGACGAATTCGAGTCAACTCGGCCCCATGTCAACTCGGCTCCAATTTAATGTGTACGGTATTTTACTGAATATTTACCAAGAGATTTGAATGCAAAGCCAAAATTAAAGTGTTTTTAAATCGTTGCCTTTGTTATTTCTTTTCATTTACATGCACTTACAATAATTAAAACTGCATTAATAAAAATAATATTAAAATGATGTTAATAAAAATTATACAAAGGTATATAGAATAACTAATAACAATAACGATATACTTGGGGCCAAGTGTACTTGGGGTTTGTTGGCATGGGGCCGAGTTAACCTGCTTCAGCCTAGAATTACCGTGCTAAAAATTAAGGCAGGGAGTTTGGATTATAGGCCTCATATAGTATACTGTAGGTGCTTCTTGATTACAAGGCTTAGGCTAAGTTAATTAATGGCGAAATTATATATGGTTATTTAATAATAATTATTATTATTTTATTATTATTGTTATTATTATTATTATTATTATTTTATTATTATTGTTATTAATATTATTATTATTATTATTATTATTTAATATTAATTACATTACAAGGCTTAGGCCAAGTTCATTAATGCCG